CTCCAATCAGAGCAGAATCAGGTGTTTTGAAGCAGGCAAACGTCTGAGACTTGCTGCCCACGGCGTCCCAGAGCTGGAAAACAAACAAAACCTCGACTTGAATCTGCCTAAAAAAGGGCTCTCCGACACAGTCTGATCTCAGCTGCTCTGGATGGGAGCTCTGGCGGATCAGAGGGATCAGAACCGGCGTCCTGGAGCGGCTGCAACTCTGGACGGGTCAGACTCTCCCGGTCAAACCCCCGTTGGACACATGTGGGCAGAGGGCGAGCGCAGGCTCCCCGGGCCGGCCGGCTGGGCGTGCACGGCGCGGTAATTAGAGGCGCTCGGTGCTCTGAGCCGCAGCAGCTGCTCAGCACACACACCACTAATTGCAGCCCTGCCTGGTATTTTTAGAGAGGCTCCTCCTCGGCTGTATTTTCATCTGGTGCCGGCGAGGCCTTTAATTCTGTCCAGCTGCAACATGCACGGTGTGGACCGCTGCGCTCGCCATCAGATGAGCAGAGAAGCAGAAAACGACCAGCGTTTCCCTCAGTCAACTCGTTTCCAGCACATTAATGAGCATGATTTCTGTCATATCTGCTCAAATACAGCTCATTTACTTAAAATTAGAGCTGAAAAAAAGTGGTAATCTTCATTATTTTGACAATACTTTGGACCAGAGGCTCATATGTTGAGGTGCTATCCAGAAAAATGATGGATGGGGCCTTCCATGTAGTTTTAAGGCTGGTAAATGAAAAAAAAACAAAGTTACAACTTTAGAAAAGGTGGATTTGAGTAGTCTCCTCTGTGTTTGAAAGGAGATGTTAAAGCCTAGAGTCACCTTTGGTTTGGAAGTCTCCACTTTGCTGCCATTTTGTGGCGCTGACTGATAAATTTCAGGGTGCTCTTTCTGCTCGGACTCTGAAAGAGGAAACCCGTCATTTGGTGGGAGTCCGGCTCTGAGCAGAGGCAGATGATTCCCACGGATCCAGAGGGAGGAAGCCGTCCACAGCCGGATGTTTAAGGCTCAGATAGGCATCGGCTGGCTGATCGCTGGCAGATTTACTGTTCCGAGCGTCAGCCTGCAGCTCATTCATTAACCAGCATGTCCGATAATGATCAGGACCACGATTCTCCACCCAAACAAGCCCCACTTCCCCCATCAGGAGCATCAGGCCACTGGTGACCCGCCTGGAAACATCTGAGCCATCTCACAGTAGCAAAGCCTTCACAGATATCACCACACCTCTGCATTAAGTCAAAATACTTCATTCAGTAAAAGCCTAGCTCCACAGTACTCATCTGGCCTATTGATCCTGAACACCCCGATTCAGGCTCATTTGCTAACTGTTCCTCAAACACACCTCAAATCTTTGGGGTGGCGTCTCTGTTGGTGCTCCTTCAGTCTGGGAAGGCCCAGACTCTTCTCAAGACACACTTTTTAAACTTGCTGTTGATTGCTGATTTTTTTATAATTGCTTTATATAATTTTCTTGCTGTTTTTTTTTTTTTCTATAAGCTCTTACTCGTCATATTTGTTTGTGGCTTGTTATTCTATTTTCAGCTCTTTGAGAAGCTGCTTTTAAAGGCGTTCTATAGAATGAAGTTTAGAATTACTATTATTGTTGTTTCAAGAAAAGAAATAAACAGGTAAATAATAACAGGTAAATTCAAATAACAGCTACCAATAACTGCTCATTTATAGTTTCAACACAAGAGCACAAACCCATTTTTCCAACAATAGTAATGAACTATCTGAATTTCAGGTAAAATTATGAAAAAACTTGTTTATTTAAAATGATTACTTGCACTAGTTTGGGGTTGAGGCCGATTTGTGGGCAGCGATTAATATGAGAAACCCTGAAAGTGGCTTTGGAGCAAAGTCCAGACACATCTCAGACATGCCGGGCAGCGTCCTGCTCACCCAGGTTGACGAAGCTCATCACCCTGTCGGCCTCGCTGACCACCGTCCCCAGCGGCGGCGTGTGCGTGCTGAGGGTGGGCAGGGCGGCGTGGTGGACCTGGACCGGCCCCCCGAGCCTCGCCACGCCGCCCACGCCGCTCAGCACGATCTCGTTGCCCTCGTCCTCGCCGTCGGCCGCCATGGCGTGGTACAGGTCCAGCATGAAGAGCGGCGCCGAGGAGGGCGGGCGCAGCGGCGGGTGTGGGCGGGGCCGGCCCGGCAGGCCCAGGATGCTCAGGATCTCCTTCTGCATCTCCTTCTTCTCGCGGCCGCTGAGCCGCCGGAAGCTGGAGTGGACGGCGGCCTCGGCCTGGTGGCTCCACAGCGAGAGCAGCAGCAGCAGCAGCAGCAGCGAGGAGCAGCTGGAGGAGGCGTCCGCGGCCATGGCAACGGCGGCGTCCGGCGCCCAGAGTCCCACCGGCTGCGTTTACAGCCTCTGGTCACCTTCTCTGGTCAGCAGGAAGAAGAGGCCTCTCACCCACGTCTGCCTGCAGCCTCAGAGCATAATCACAAGCTCCGCTCTGTGTTCTGAAAGCAGGCAAACGGAAACAAACCCCACAGCTTCACAGCTTCAGGGTTTCAGGCTTTTCTTCACACCTCTGGAGAATGGCAGCCGGCCTTTGGTCCACTCCTCCCAGACGTGTCCTTCAGTCCGGTCCCAGAAAGGCGGCGATGCTCGGCTGGCTTTAGTCCTTCAGGCTTCTGGCTGCTCTGCTGCTGCTGTCTGACTGGATCCTGTGTATGAAGCCGGGGGGGGGGGGGTCTCCCTCCCCGGCTCCTCCCCGCTGCCTTCATTCCCTCCTCACCCCTCCCAGTGGGCTCTTCGGAGGCCTTCATCTCTCTCCTGCCCACCTCCACCCATCTATCTTTTCATCTACTTATGACTGCTTCCTTTCATTGCGGCTCATCGCCGAGCGTCTGGCGGCCTGATGTTCAGCTTCATGCTGAATTTGGTTTAGGGGCTTTTTTAATTCATTCTCAAAAGGAAAAAAGAGACTCTTGACACGTGAAATTTGGCAGGTTTTGGGGTTAGAAGTCGGTCCAGAAGGCCCAGTGCAAACACACCGACCTGTGTGTGAAGCTGAAGCACTC